GCGTAGCTGACAGACACAGAACGTAGAGGGAGCAAGGAGGAGCAGTACATAAAAACAGACACTTTTTTCGGACTATTGTAAACGTACAAAAGTAGGTACATAGCTTAAATATACAAACCCCAAAAGGGCATAATATGGGCTCTTTAAAGGCCACGTGTTAAGTGACTCATCAGTCAACATAAGGGCGTAAGTGAGAGCTGATCCTTGGCCACATGTATCTAGTGATTATTCTCTCACTCTCTGGATCTGACTCCCTCTCTGGTCCCTCTCTCTCTTCTCTTCAGTTTGGTTTTGATGATGCTCTAAAGCCTAACCTCCAACACACTTTAGTCTTTTTAACTGATTAGACAAAGAGAATCTTTGGTCACAAACGGAGCAGCTGTAGAGTTTCTCCACTATGTGTTGTGACGTGAAATGTCAGACTCTGTTCAAGTTTACCTCTTTAGATGACCATAAGAAGAAGAAGAAGAAGAAGATTTACTTTATTGATCCCCGCAAGGGGAAATTTCAGTTTTTACACTCTGTAGTCATGAACACACACATAGGCTGAAGTATATATATACAGACATGCACACAAACAGGATCCTATGAACATGCACTAAGGGAGAGATGTCAGAGTGATGGAGTGGCCCACAGCGGGCGCTCCTGAGCTGATGGTGGGGAGGGGGTTTGGTGCCTTGCTCAAGAGCACCTCGGCAGTGCTCAGGAGGTGATCTGGCACCTCTCCAGCTACCAGACCAACTTCCATGCTTGGTCTGCACCGGGACTTCTCTGTCTCATCAGATTGGATTTATCATTAAATCTTTTATAGCACTTAGAACAACCAAATGGTTTCTCAACAGAGTGAATTCTGATGTGTTTGGCCACTTCCCTTGTTTGGTCCAGAATGCGTTCTCACCTACGGCGGCTGTAGCGGTAGAGTTGTCGCCTCTCAACCGGAAGGTCGAGGGTTCAATCCCCAGCTGGGCAACATGTCCGATGTGTCCTTGGGCAAGACACTTAACCCTGAATTGCTCCTGCTGCTTCGGTGGTGGTGTATGAATGGGATTAGTTACTTCTGATGGAAGATACTACATAGTGATCACTACCATCAGTGTGTGAATGTGTAGGTGTGACCTGCAGTGTAAAAGCGCTGAGTAGTCAGAAGACTAGAAAAGCGCTTTACAAGCTCAAGTCCATTTATCATTTACGGCAAACCGAACTCTGGTGCGTTTGGAAGCGAACCGAGACCCCCGTTTAAAGTGGACCAGAGTTGGGTTCTTTGGTAAGCACCAGAGTTCGTTTCATACGGACCAAACGGCTCAGGTGTGAACGCACCCTTAGTCTCAGATACAGATGTGTATCCCGTTGCAGGTGAGGAGATGCTGAGGAATCTTCGGTTCATCTTTCAGACACTTTCACAGGCGTTACAGGGCTCCTGTCTTTCATGATACCACACAGACTATGAACATAACAGCAGCTGTAGTAACTTGTTCCTGGCTTTTTACTTATTATTTTCCCACTCTGCACTCTGATTATCCTGCCTTTATAACCTCGACCATATTCATCATAACACCGGTTGATTACCCACACAAACATTTTTTTACACAATATTTTTGTACCTATAGCCTACTAAACAGATGAAAATGTTTCAATAACAATAGGACTACTATTTGTTATTCTTTGAAACATTCTCTCCATAATGAATCATTTTAACAGAAACTTCATTATTATGTATCACTGTCACAGTATCAAACGCTCTTACTGCCCAATACCAGGACGAGTGCAGCACGCAAGATATCCATAATTGTTTTCACTTTGCGATAACCGCGATTACCGCGTTTGGATGAGCGAACAGCTGTGTCGGCAGATGGCTTCTGAACTCTCGTAGATGCATATTTAGTTTGTTTGGGACTTTTAGTTTATTTTGAATTCATAAAGGGGTCAATTAAAAGGGATATTTTTGTTATTATAATTTTTTTTATTTCATGCAACAACACTGTGCTGCTAACCAAACAATTATTTCCCATAATGCACGTGGCAATGGGAGCCTGTTACGTCCAAAAAGGCGTCTGATTTCTGGGTTGGACCTCTCGAACCGAGACCACCTCTTCGTCTGGGTCTCAGTTCGGCTGAGGTCCGCACCACGGTTTTAGTTTGTTTCATGTGAACTAAACGAGGTAGGTGTGAATACACCCTCAGTCTCTTTTAAATCCCTGATCAAAACCCACCTCTTTCACACAGCTTGCTTTGTGTGCATTGCTTTAATGTTGTTGTTTCCTACCACTGGTTTGATCTGTAACTCTGTAAAGTGTCTTTGAGTGTTCTGGAAAGCACTTTAAAAATAAAATAATTATTATTCTATGTACTCCACTGCAGAAACTTCATGCAACTGCTTCCTGACAGGTTGAAACTGTGGTGCCTGCAGTTTGGAATGTTCCCCCATCTAATGTGGCCTCTGACAGTCTATGAGATTCCTGTCACCAAAATGGAGAAGCTAGAGAGAACAGTCAGTTCATACATCAAGAAATGTCTTGGACTCCCGCGTTGTCTCAACAACATTGGCTTGTATGGAATCGGCGCTCTAAAACTGCCGGTCACAAGCCTGGCTGAGGAGTACTTGTGCCAAGGTAAGACTGGACATGTCCCTGACCCAATCCCAAGACTCCACAACACAAGCGGCTACTCCCAGTTTGACAACAGGTGGAGCCCAACTGAGGCACAGGGACATTGTAGGCCAGGTGCAGCGTGGAAGAGGTGGTCTTGGTCTCAGAACAAGCAGACCTACATGACACAACGCAAAACTCAGCCAGGGAAGAAAGCTTGTTGTAACAAAGGTGCATCACCAGGAGGAGGCAAAAAAGATCTATGGAGTTAGATCAGTCTCAATATTCACAAATGCACACAGAAGGATTCAAAAATGTATTTCAATGCACACACAAATATATTTAATTCTATATAAATGAAAACAAAATAAAAAAATTAGATTCACAAATGTATTTCTGATTCACACACAAATATTTATAGTTTCGTATATATGTAATAGAAATCCACAAATATATAAAGTGTTCAGTCTGCTTTTACAAACTGTTTGTCATTTGTGAACCTCACTGCATTTGTGTGTGGGATTTTTGAGACTCCCCTGCCGTGGTTAGATTCACAAATAAATTTTGTTCAGCAGGGAAATGTCTGTAGCAAATCAGATGTCTCCTTCCTATTCAGCCAATCACAGTAGCGTAGATTCAAGGGTATGATTTAATGTGATCACTTTAGCGTTGCATCTGCGCAGATAGCGATTAGCCTAGCTATCAGACAATCTGATTAAGTCATCTTTAATCTGACCAGCACAAATAGTCTCTATGATTGTCGTACTACATATGGAAAGCTGCATATATTTGTAATTCATCAATCAACACTCCAAAGCATCAGTTAGCTCCACTGAACTGTTTTATGTTAAATGTGTAAGTTCAATGACATCGTGTTAAGTTACAAACTAATTCATCAATAAAAAAAAACAGTCAGTGTGTTGATCTAAAAACTGTGAAATGTCAGGATATATGAAATGTAATGATACATTTGTCTAAGCCCACTGTATCACCTGACACTCAGGACTAAGAATCAGCACAGTATGTGGAAGGAAGAAGTGTACATGTACATCAAACTCATCTCTTGATACAAACACTGACCTTTGAGTAAACCTTCCTACCAGAAACATTACAACTAAACGGTTTCTCTGTTTCCAGTTGTTGTATCCCTCCAGAAGGTTTACACTGAAGCTGAAATACTGGATGAAGATTAGAAAGTCTATAAATACACGTCTCATACTATTACAGCATATGCAAACTTATCTTACACCAAAGAATGCAAATGAAAACAACAGAAACATTCCCGATATCTGCACAACATGTATGAAACGATAAGGACATTCTTTCATTGGCAATGCAGAAAAAAAAACATGCTTTGGGAAGAGGTAAGAATTACAACAGAGAAGATCATTTTATCTCCACACTAAGCTTCTTCTGTTGGACTTAAATCACGAGAAACTTAATTATAGTAAAAATAAAAGAGCCTTTATTAAAATGTTTTGCATTTTAATGGAAAAATGTTCAGCGATAAACCACTACTCATTGGATAAGACAGATGTTATCATCCATTAGAAAGGAAACCCTAAATACTGTAGGCTCAACAGCAGAGACCTTTTTATGAATTATATGAAGAAATAACACAAATGTTTAAGCCAATGACTGATCTGTGTGGACAAAGCAGTTTCCAAGCATTAAGGACTTTCATTTATTCTTTAAATGCTTTCTATACTCAGCACTTCTTACAACTACAATGTTGTATATATGACCTTTCTTAGTCATTTCTTTATACATTTAGTTTTGTTGGTAAATGCAGCAATTTTACATCTAGACATAAAGCATGAGAAGTCAAAAAGCTGTATTTTATTGTGCTATGATGTAAATAAAAATACTGTGGCAAAGAAGGTACATCTAGCTAAATGATAACACTAAGAGCAGCTGAGTGGTTTCTCATTTCACTGAGAGAAACTGACTGACCGTCCTCAGGTTCAGAAGAGTCTTCAGTCTCTGGTTGAAAATGTGTTTCTCTTCTCTTCTGATGTGTCATGTTTGTGAAAACTGAGGGCTAAGGGGAAGTTAGCAAACATAGTCTATATTGGCGAGGATAAGCTCTTGGCTGAACATGGTTCTCACCAGTATATACAGTATACACAGAAGTATCTACACTCACAGGCCACTTTGTTAGGTTCAGCTGCTCGTTATTGTAAATATCTAATAAGCCTATCACATGGCAGGAACTCAATGTATTGATTGTTGAGTAAAGAGTCCATCAGTATTAACTCATCCATTCATACACATTCATACACTGATGGTAGAGGCTGCTGAGTAAAGAGTCCATCAGTAGTAACTCATCCATTCATACACATTCACACAATGATGGTAGAGGCTGCTGTTTAAAGAGTCCATCAGTATTAACTCATCCATTCATACACATTCATACACTGATGGTAGAGGCTGCTGTTTAAAGAGTCCATCAGTATTAACTCATCCATTCATACACATTCATACGCTGCTGACGAACAGCCGGAGCAACATCGGGTTAAGTGTCTTGCCCAAGGACTCATCGGACATTTGCTGCAGAAGCTGGGGGATCAAACCCTCGACCTTCTGGTTGAGAGACAACCAACTCTACCAACTGATCCAGAGCCACCTAGGTAAATGATTATTGTTAGCATTTTGACACACTCTGAAACTGCCGACTGTAAGCTTATAAAGGAGACCTTCATGTGCTTGTACTCCAATTGGTTCAAGAACATTATTCAATTTACTCTGGGTATAACTGGATAGGTGATTTAGGAACATTTTACTTTTTTTTGTGTGTGCGCTCACAGATTGGTATAAGAAGCCTATATTCAATTGTTTAAACTAAACAAATCCAGCTCTGGACCCAATATAAGTTTGACGACCCTGTTCTACATGCTTGGGTTGTGGAGGCAATGTGGGCCATATGGGCGGGTAGGTAGAATCAGCGTTCACACTTTCTGACTAGCTCACAATTAAGGGCCATGTGTTAGGTTATGTTACTTATCAGTCCATATAAGGGAATAACTGAGATGAAGGGTTTCTTCACTGAGAGCTTATCAACAGCCAAAAGTACAGTTAACACACTCATCTACTGATTAGACAGGAAGAATCTATGGTCAGGAACAGTGCAGCTGAAGGGTTTCTCTCCTCTGTGATGGGCCATGTGAAGTGTCAGACTAGACTTTCGTTTAAATCCTTTCCCGCACTCAGAGCAGCTGAAGGGGTTCTCTCTGGTGTGAACCAACATATGTCTAATCAGAACCCATTTTTGGTTAAAACTTTCACCGCACTGAGAGCAGCTGAAGGGTTTCTCTCCGGTGTGAATTCTCATGTGTGTGGACAGAGCACCTTTTTGGTTAAATCTTTTACTGCAAACAGAGCAGCTGAATGGTTTCTCTCCTGTGTGTATTCTAATGTGTCTGGTCATATTCTGTTTCTTTTTGAATGTTTTACCACACTCAGAGCAGCTATGTAATTTCATATCAGCACTTTGCTTCTCAGTTGTAATGTTTTCCACATAGTTTAAACCTGAATGATATTCTGTTGTCTCATGCCAATTGTCAGTTCCTTCGTTCTCATATTCAGAAGAGTCTTCAGTGTCTGCTTGTAAACGTCTTTCTGGGTCCGAGTCTCTGGCTGGTTCTGCTCTTCCACTTGGCTCTCTGTCAGCTCCTGCCTCTCTTTTCTCCTCAGTTTGGTTTTGATGAAGCTCTGAAAATTGACCTCCAACACCCTTGTCTTCCTCTAACTGGTTAGAACTAGATACATTTTGGTCAAAAATAAAGCAGCGGAGGGGGTTCTCCACTATATGATGGAGAGACACCATGTGAAGTGTCAGACTCTGCTTAAGGCCAAATCTTTTACCACAATCAGGGCAGCTAAAGGGTTTATCTCCTCTGTGAGTTCTCATGTGTCTTGTCAGATTTGTTTCGATATTGAAAATTTTATTGCACTCAGGACAGCCAAAGGGTTTCTCTCCCGAGTGAATCCTAATGTGTTTGGTCAGAGACTGTTTTTGGCTAAAACTTTTACCACAGTTAGAGCAGCTGAAGGGTTTCTCTCCTGTGTGAACTAACATATGTTTTGTCATACTTCCTTTAAGATTAAAACTTTTACTGCAAACATAGCAGCTGAAGGGTTTCTCTCCTGTGTGAATTCTAATATGTTGCTCCAAAAGCCATTTGGTTTTGAATGGTTTATCACACTTAGAGCAGCAATGTGATTTCTTATTAGCAATATTTTCCAAAGAGGTTAAATCTGACTGATTTTCTCTGGTCTCTCTCCAATCATCACTGTCATCAGTCTCAGCTTCTGAAGAGTCTTCAATCTTGACCTCAATCTCTGGTTGTAAATGTCTCTCTGGATCTGAGTTCCTCTCTGGTTCTGCTCCTCCACAGTCCTCTCCATCAACTCCTGTTTCCATCTGTTCAGTTTGTCTCTGATGAAGCTGTGAGGACTGAGGTTTCTCTTCATCTTCACTCTTCACAGAGACAAGAGTGAAGGGGAACATGGTGGTATCAGCCTCCTCCAGTCCTTGAAGCTGTTCTTCCTCCTGGTTGCTCCACAGTTCCTCCTGTTCTTCTTTAATGTGTTGGGGCTTAGTGTCCTCCTGGTCCAGAATGTGGCTCCACTCCTGCTGCTCAGGAGGAAGTTCTTTACTCACCAACAGCTGCTGGTTAAAAAAACAAACATGTTAAAGACAACCAGCACGAAACACCTTCATCACTGGTAACTCATTTCAGCTTTACATTTAGGAATATATCTCAGAAATTGGCTACAGGATTAGCGATGGATCACATCTGTTTAGCTAACAACATAATAAGTAAGAAATTTAAGTTTAGGAATAAAATGAGATGCCGTTTGTGAAGGCTAAAACAAAGCAGGCTTGCAAAATGTGAAGTTGGACGTGTTCTGGGCAGTTCATTTTAAACAAGAGAAGCGTGCGTGTGGTGATAAAACAGCCGTCTAATTTGCAACATGGAAGCAAAAGCGAGAGCAAAGTTTTGGACAGCAGTATACACATCAGTCTAACAGACACAACAATATCTAGGATATCTGGGTGGTGACTGGCTGCTATATTCTTTCTTTCTATGTTTGTGTGTGTCATAAATGGTGTAGAATCTGGCTTGATCCGTAGTCTGTTTGGATAACCCCCGACGGTTTGGGCCGCAAGTGATCCTTTTTCATTAGAAAACATATCCCCGCTCTAATAGCCATCCATCCATTTTCTTACACTTATCCAAGGTCGGGTCGCGTTGGCAGCAGGCGCAGTAAGTCAACCCAGACTTCCCTCTCCCCAGCAACATTTTCCAGCTCCTCCTGGGGATTCCGAGGCGTTCCCAGGCTAGGCGGGATATATAATCCCTCCAGCGTGTTCTGGGTCTGCCCGGAAAACCTCTAAAGGCAGGCGTCCCGGAGGCATCCTTAACAGATGCCCAAACCACCTCAACTGGCTCCTTTGAATGCGGAGGAGCAGCGGCTCTACTCTGAGCTCCTCACCCTATCTCTAAGGCTGAGCCCAGACCCCCTCCAGAGGAAGCTCATTTCGGCCGCTTGTATCCGCGATCTCATTCTTTTGGTCACTCATTCTTTCGGTCACTACCCACAGGTCATGACCATAGGTGAGGGTTGTAACGTAGCTCTACCGGTAAATTGAGAGCTTTGCCTTCAGGCCCTCTTAGCCACAGCGGTCCGGCACAACGCTTGCATTAGACTATCCGTCAGTCAATCTCATGTTCCATACTACCCTCACTCGTGAACAAGACCCCGAGATACTTGAACTCCTCCACTTGGGGCAAAGACTCACTCCCCACCCGGAGAGAGCAATCCACTGTTTTCCGGCAGAGAACCATAGTCTCGGACTTGGAGGTGCTAACCCTCATCCCAGCCGCTTCACACGCGGCTGCAAACTGCCCCAATGCCTGCTGGAGGTCCCAGCTTGAGGAAGCCAACAAAACCACGTCATCTGCAAAAAGCAGAGACGAGATTTTGAGGTCCCCAAACTGGAAACCCTCCTCCCCCCGGCTGCTCCTTGAGATCCTGCCCATGAAGATCACAAACAGGGCCGGTGACAAGGGCAGAGGCCAACACGCACTGGGAACGTGTCTGACTTTGTGTCGAGGATGCGGACACAGCTCCCACTTCTACTCTACAATTCACTTAGCAGACGCTTTTATCCAAAGCGATATACATCAGAGAGTAAGTACAACACTAATCCATTTATACACCGCCACCAAAGCAGCGGGAGCAATTCAGGGTTAAGTGTCTTGCCCAAGGACACATCGGACATGTTGCTCAGCTGGGGATTGAACCCTCGACCTTCCAGTTGAGAGGTGCCGACTCTACCAACTGAGCCACAGCCGGTCCGGACCAGATGGCTCGTACCAACGGCCCCATATTCCCCATACTGGGGCGGCAGTAGCTCAGGGGCGGCAGTAGCTCAGTCTGTAGGGACTTGGGTTGGGAATCGGAGGGTCACCAGTTCAAGTCCCAGCACAGACCAAGTCCAGAAGTTAGTCTGGTAGGTGGAGAGGTGCCAGTCCACTTCCTGAGCACTGCCGATGTGCCCTTGAGCAAGGCACCAAGTCCCCAAAGTCCCCAAAACTGCTCTGGAGCGCTTGCTGTGGGCAGCTCCAGTTCAGGATACTTTCAGCTGTGGGCAGCCCCCTCACTCTGAGACCTCTCCATTTATGCATGTCCATAGGATACTGTTTGTGCATGTATGTGTTCATGTTCAATAGTGTGTAAAAATAAAATTAATAAAAGGATAAATTAATTTAATTAATTACTGCAATACCCCCCACATGATCTCCAAGGGACATGGTCAAAAGCCTTCTCCAAATCTACCAAACACATGTTGATTTGATGGGCAAATTTCCATGCCCCCCCCCCAAGAAGCCCTGCGAGGGTAAAGAGTTGGTCCACTGTCCCACAGCCAGGACGGAATCCACATTGTTCCTCCTGTATGCGAGGTTCCACAATCAGATGGAGCCTCCTTTCCAGCACCCTAGAGTAAGCTTTCCCCGGAAGGCTGAGAAATGTGATACCCCAATAATTGGAGGACACCTTCCAGTCACCCTTTTTGTAGATAGGAACCACCACACCGGTCTGCCACTCCACAAGCAGTTGAGCATATTTACAGTACGGACCTTGTCAGTGAACTATTGCCCAGACCAAACCCCTCATGTTATCTAGCAACAACAATGTGCTTGTCAAAGCAACAGTGAATACCTGTACCAAAGGATGGCTTTGATGCTGATCAGAACTCTCAACTCTGTCGATGACAATATTACATTCATTTATTAAAAACATTATTAACGTTGTACCCTCCTCTCTACATCCTTATGTTGTACTTACTCTCTGATGGTCTTTGCTTTGGACAAAAGCGTCTGACAAATGAGTTGTAGAAAAGGAAAATAAACACTAGCAAGCTGGAGTAGCTCAGTCCTTACAGACCGTCTGTACCTGTTTCTGTCAACACAGAGAAACAGCTTAAAACGCTCAGAAAAGTAGTCAGAGCAAACAAGAGTTAAGCTGCATACAATGTTCAGGAAAGATTTCAGGATTGTTGGACAAGTTGGTAAAGTGGGACAAAAAGACTAACTGAATTTCACCAGAACGTGGTCTAAAAATGCCAAGAGAGACATAACTGACCTGCGGACATCTGCCTTGCATTTACTTCTAATGGATGGCATGATTCATTTTATCTTCAGAATGACCAACTGTAGTGTACGTCACGTGTGGCGTTATACGTGATGACGTTGTAAATGTGTAGCCTGTATGTTACTGGAAGCAGGTGTAATAAAGCAGCATTAAAACGGTCCAGTATCGTTGGTGTTAATATGTGGATATGAAAAAAGGAAGAAAGTGTTGTGCACGAGTAGCATAACTTCTACTGTGCATGAAGTTTAATCTGTTGAGGAGGAGGAAAAGACGCGCACGGAGTAAGCATGAAGCTAAGTTTACCGGCGGTAACTCCTTTTGATGTGACCAGTGACTCGGCTAATGTCGGTGGTCGCTGGCATAAGTGGATAAATAGTTTTAAACTCTATTTAGCCGCGTCGGGGATCCGTGAAGCTGCACGGAAAAGGGCTTTACTGCTACACTTAGCAGGAGCCTAAGTTCAGGATATTTTCAGCATGCTGGATGACATGGCAGATGATACTGACTATGATGGAGCGGTAGACAAACTGAATGAATATTTCACTCCTCAGAAAAACATTCCTTATGAGAGACACGTGTTTAGACAAACAGAACAAGCTCAAGGAGAGCAAATAGACAGTTTTGTGAGCAGGCTAAAGAATTGCCCTTGAAGAAATTGCAAGGGCAATGGAGACAGCGGATCAACAAGCTGCAAAAATGGAGAAATTAACTGAAAAACTGCCTCCCACCCACACTGGACCCATTTCAGTTTGCCTACCGCAGCAATAGGAGTACAGAGGATGCAGTCTCCACTGCGCTGCACTCTGTGCTCACTCATCTGGACAATAACAACACATACGCACGAATGCTGTTTGTTGATTTTAGCTCAGCATTCAACTCTGTCATCCCCTCCGAGTTAAACACTAAACTCGGAGACCTGGGCTTCAACACCTCCCTCCGTCACTGGATAATGGACTTTCTGACCAACAGACCCCAGTATGTTAGGTCAGGACACACCTGCTCCACCACCATCACACTCAATACAGGCATACCACAGGGCTGTGTGCTGAGCCCATTCCTCTACTCCCTCTTCACCCACGACTGCAGACCTGTACATGGATCCAACACCATCATCAAGTTTGCGGACGATACGGCGGTGATTGGCCTCATCAGCAACAACGATGACACAGCCTACAGGGAGGAGGTACAGCATCTGGCCGCCTGGTGTGCTGACAACAACCTGCTCCTCAACACCAGCAAGACGAAGGAGATCATCGTGGACTTCAGGAGAGAAAGAGGAAGCACGCACAACCCCATTCACATCAACGGGATGGCTGTTGAACGTGTCTCCAGCTTCAAGTTCCTGGGGACCCACATCACAGAGGACCTCTCCTGGTCCACTAACACCTCCAGTCTGATTAAGAAGGCTCATCAACGCCTCTTTTTCCTGAGGACACTGAAGAGACACCACCTGTCTTCAGCTGTACTGATGAACTTCTACCGCTGTGTGATCGAGAGCATCCTGACCAGCAGTGTCTCAGTCTGGTACGGAAACTGCTCTGTCGCAGACCGTAAGGCGCTACAGCGGGTGGTAAAAACCGCCCAGCGCATCACAAGGTGTCCACTTCCTGCCATTGAGGATGTCCAATGGATATTATCTGTAAACTAGTATAGCATGCTCACTGCATCTTAATCTGTATATTATTAGTATAGCATGCTCACTGCACCTTAATCTGTATATTATAATCCTAAGAATACACTTATTTTGTAGCATTACTTATTTATAGCATTTATTTATATTTATTGCATCCCATTAATCCAGCCATCCAGATATACCTAATAATTCACTTTTTTTGTCTACATCTGTACCATTTTGTAATTACTGTACATAGCACAGACTCTTGCACTTTCTGCTTATTTGCACTTCTGGTGAGATGCCAAACCTCATTTCGTTACTCTATACTTGTATATGTGTAATGACAATAAAGTTGAATCTCATCTCATCTCATCTCAATGCAGTGGGACAAAAACCTGGAAGAGGGAGGGGAAAAACGTTAAGACCCAGATTTTCCACAACAAATGATCATCCACCACGTGATGGGCACAGCATGAAGTGTTACAGGTGTGGGCGTGACGGACACCTGAGTCGTGAATGCACAATAGCTAAAAATAAAAAGTGCAATAACTGTGGCAAAGAAGGACATTTTGCCATAATGTGTAAAACGAAGAAAATGCATAAAGTTAACAAAGTAACAACCACAGATTCACACAAAGGTCACAGTGACATTGAAGATGACCATGTATTTACAGTGAGTGATAGTGCTGTGGATGGAACACTATCAGTGCTAATAAATGATCAGCGGGTGGAAATGTTGATAGACTCAGGAGCTTCCTGTAACATTGTAACTGAGTCCACGTTCGAACAGTTGAACTCTAAAAGTGACATCAAACTACTGCGTCCAGAGAAGCAAGTCTGTCCATTTGACTCAACAACACCACTCCATGTAAGAGGGATTTTTTTCTGCTGATTTGAAATCAAGTGAGGATTCAAAAACTGTCACTGCTAAAATTCGAGTGATCAAAGAAGCACGAATGTGTGCTGGGGAGAAAAACTGCTGTTAAGTTGGGACTACTTCATATTGGCCCTATCGAACAGGTGTACACTGTCGAACCAAAAGATAACAAGTAGTAGCTGTAAAAACAAGTAGTTTTTACAGCTGAGCTACAGGAGAAATACCCTAACCCTATTTCCAGCTGGAGCTGCATGTGGATAACAGTGTAAAGCCAGTAGCCCAGCCTGTTCGCAGAGTGCCATTCAGTTTACGAAAACAAGTGGATGAGAAACTCAAACAACTTGAGGAGATGGATGTTATTGAAAGAGTAAGCGGACCAACGCCATGGGTGTCTCCGCTAGTTGTGGTTCACGGTAAGAAAGAGCCGAGATTGTGTGTGGACATGCGCAGAGCAAATGAGGCTATAGTGCGAGAGAGGCACCCTATCCCAATCATAGATGAAATACTGGAGGACATGACAGGAGCCACAGTGTTTTCAAAGTTGGATCTCAAATGGGGATATCATCAAATAGAACTGACGCCTGAGTCCAGGTTGCTCAGTACGTTCGTCACACACACAGGGCTGTGGCGTTACAAGAGATTGATGTTCAGAGTTTCAACTGCACCCGAGATTTACCAACACATTATCGGACAAGTCCTACAAGGCATTTCCGGAGTGCACAACATATCTGATGACATCATCGTTTCAGGAGAAACCATGCAACAGCACGATGAAAGATTGTATAAAGTCATGCAACGGCTGCAAGAGAGACAACTGACAGTTAACAGCAAAAAGTGCCAATTTCAAATGTCACAACTTGGTCATTCATCGGTCAGGTACTGTCCAAAAATGGAACAGGAGCAGCTCAGCTCAAGATTGAGGCAGTGGAGAATACACGTCGTCCAACAAATGCAGCTGAAGTGAGGAGTTTCTTGGGACTTGTGGTAGGTTCATCCCTAATCTGGCAACGACATCAGAACCACTGAGGAGGCTCATGAGGTAGTCCTGAACATGGGGATCAGTGCAGGAGACAGCTTTGTAGAACTCAAGAGACAGCTGGCCAGTTCCCATGTAATGTCGTATTTCAGCCAGGATGCGGAGACACATGTGGATGCTAGTCCAGTGGGATTAGGAGCAATTTTGAGCCAAAAACAAAGGGATGGAACACACAAGCCTGTTTATTATGCCAGTCGAGTCTTTTCTGATGTAGAGCGACGCTACTCTCAGACTGAAAGAGAAGCCCTAGCCATTGTGTGGGCATGTGAGAAATTTCATGTGTTTCACTACGGAAAAGACTTTGTAATGGTCACAGACCACAAGCCTCTTGAGACTATCTACTCACCAAAGTCCAAACCGCCAGCGAGAATTAAAAGGTGGGCTTTGCGGCTGCAACCCTATAAATTCAAGGTCGCCAGACCACAAAATGCAGCTGACTCACTGTCACGTCTCACAGTCAATCCGCCAGTACAGCGTGGCACCATGGAGGATCATGTTTACTTCGTAGCTCAACATGCAGTGCTAGACGCTTTCACACCACCACAGATGGAGGATTTGTCAGCAGAGGATCACACACTAGCTACCTTACGGAGCTGCATCAAGACTGGTGACTGGAGTAAATGTGACTCTGTTTTTCGAACTGTTAAAACTGAGCTCTCCACTGTCTGGAAAATAGTGTTGAGAGGTTCCAGGATTGTTGTTCCTCGGGCTGCACGACACCAGACGCTGCTGTTAGTACATGAGGGACATCAAGGAATAGTCAAGACAAAACAAAGACTGAGAACAAAAGTGTGGTTGCCCGGAATTGATCGTGAAGTAGAGGAGTTGGTGAAGTCATGTCATGCTTGTCAAATCAATAGCTCGACTTAACAAGATGTCACAACTGTTAGGCCAGAGCTCCCAGCTAAACCTTGGCAGACACTCGTTATGGACATGTGTGGACCATTTCCTTCGGGAGACCATCTTCTTGCACTGACAGATTACTACTCCAGATGGGTGAGTGTCGATATCCTCAGGAGTCCAACATCAGCAAACATAATCAAATGTTTGAAACACTTGTTTGCAACTCATGGAATACCAGAATCTATTGTAACTGATAACGGCACTCCATTTCTGTCAAAGGAGTTCAAAACGTATCTACAGGAGAGTGGAATCACACATCGCCGTATCACTATGTCACAGGACACAGGCCAGCAGAGCTCTTATTCAATCGCCAGATCAGAACCAAGCTTCCTGAACTGTTGATGGACTGCCAGCAGCCCCCTGCAGGCCAGGATGCTGTTGTTCGCAGGACTGATGATGCAAGGAAGGAGAAGGGACGTGTTGATGCGGACAGAGTTAGAAGAGCAAAAGATAGCACAGTGAAGCAGGGCGACAAAGTCCTGCTCCGTCAGCAAACACGAAACAAACTTTCTACACCATTCGAACCAGACCCCTACACTGTTGTGAACCGTGTCACTGGTGAAGCGGTGGGTCCAACCTGAATTAGAGACAGTTGTGCCAATCTGTGTTGCCGGAGAGAGGCTGGACACCCAACCTGCAGACACAGCACCAGTTGAAACTGCTCAACAGGACATTAGACCTCAGAGAGCAAGGAGAGTGCCAACTCACCTTGTGGACTACCATTTAGACAGACATTACCATAATGGGGCAAAATAATCCCTGGCATTTGTCTTAATGGCAGGGTAGTCCACCCCTCGCCATTCAGGTTATGTTCTGGTTTAAAAACAAAAGTGAAGAGAACACATGAGAGAGAGTTTGTTTAAGGTTTGTTTAAGATGACCAATTCAATTAAAAAATGACCAATTCAAAAATCTTTTAAAAACACAATTTTAAAGCAAGCATCAGGTTCCTTAAAATGTGAGATTTGTATTCATGTTGGTTTTGTGTTTTTTTTAAATTACATTTACATTTCTTTCAAAAGGTAAGACAGAATGGACCTAAAAATGTCAAGTGGTGTAACCACTGAAAAATTAAGAATATTGAATATTTTATACATCTAGTGTATATATAAGTGTACTCATAATTGTAATTACTTCATTTCAAAATAGCACAAGAAAATACATTTCATTAGGATTATCCTTATATTATTATTATTATTCTTATTATTATTATTAAGTTATGTCCTTTTTCAATACTGAGCGGGACACAAAGCTGAAAACACCTCTGTTTTCTAATAAATCTTCGGCAAAATTGTTTAAAAACCTGTTATTTCACCGCAATAGAGGACTACTTTTATTCCACTTTAATTTTCCAGTATTTTATTATATTTTTTACAAGAAATACTGGTTACACCAATTGACGCAAACCAGTTACACCAACTGACCATACTGCTTCTACAGTCAAAGGCCATTATTTATTGAAGAAATTGTTGTTAGCGTCCTCCATTTTATGTTTGCCCACCTACCAAAGTGCACAGAATACCAGTACGCTGATGACAGTAATGTAGCACACGTATGTTTGCCTTGAACACAGAATAGCATAAAACTGAACTGAATAGATCGGCCTTTTGGATGGGTCTAATAGATCGGCAAATTCTTACTGATACCTGATCTAGCTGTCTTAGTCAGGATCGGTGCACCCTTAATTAATTAATATCTTAAGTAAAGGGAATTCATTTCTTCAGTATTTGGAATAAACTTGAGGTACTTTTGCCCTAATCAAAGGATAAGAGATTAGTGAAGAAACCCCTGCCCCAATTATGCCCCTATGCCCTATTGACAGGGCTGTCCCTGGCCAAACTGGGGCCCTAAGCAGAAATTTATTTTGAGGCCCCCCATTACAAAATGACTGTATCACGAAATGCCATTTAGGTTTATTAGTAGGAACAAATCAAATGAACAGCCTCTATCAACAATGGAACAAGCCTTTTACAGATGCACACGTCTGCATTTTCTGGATGCAAAGTCATCAATGAGGTCGTCACATGACAGCTGCTGTGCCACTTCTGAGTTGATGCTTATGATAGCCAGGCCACTCAAGCGTTCTTGCGCCATTGATGAGCGGAGGTATGTTTTGATGAATGACGGGTGACGTGCTGGGTGAGACTGCTTCAGTAGACATGGTGCTTGATGGCCCTTGTGACGTACTGGGCGCTGGCTCCATGTCACCCTTAGTAACAAACTTCAGCATTGACCCTGTTATGACAAGAAATCCATCATACAAGCACATTATTAAGATTTGTTTTGGTCTTAATGGTAAATTACACAATGAAATTAATGTAAATACTAGTCTCACAAAGATTAAAATGCAATTAATGCAAATACGACTACAACTAATAATAATATTCATTATGATTTGATTTGATGATATTTCTATATTTAAATATTTTTATATACTTATTTTTTCATTTTGTATTTAGGTTCTATATTCCTACACTGCTGTTTGCTGCTGCAACGCTTTAAATTTCTCCATTGTGGGTCAAATAAAAGATTATCTTAATTTATCTTATTTTATCTAATCTTATATGACTGTTGCGAATTAAATTCATCAAGAGATGGCAACATTTTCAAGCCATAAAAAATAGCCCAAAACTTCTATTAACAGCATGAATGATAGGCTATAAACCTAAGCCAACATATGACCACCAACTGGTCAATTAACCACTCCTTTTTCAACAGAGGTGAATGTATATGCAGTTAACAAGACATTCAATAAATGATAATCAGGGCCGCTGGAAAATTTAATCTCCAGTCCACATCTAGACAGAATGATCCTCTCTTCTGTCTCATGATTAGCAGAATAGCAGCTGGGGTGTTTATGCCACAAAGTTTCTCTTTTTTATTTCAACAACATACCTTCAAGTGAAGCACGAGCCTCCTCTGGTTTTGACTTTTTCTTTTGCTTGCTCCCGATTCATATTGCCGTTTGGAGACCATCTCTCCAACTGCATCTAACTGCCTGTCTGCGCATCTGACCGCTGACTGGTCAGATGCTGCGTGATGTCAATCATTGCGGCAACGCGTGCAGTGTCAGATTATTCGTCTTTTTTTTCTCTCCTGCCTCGGGCTTGACTTGGTGCTCTACGCGCGCCTCATGGCAGCGATGCGCATCCTTTGCGCATTTGCAGAGAATGCGTCCCCTTGCGCAAAATGGGGCCCCCCCCCATGGATCGTGAGGCCCTACGCACAATGCGTGTTCTGCGTGTAGGGAGGGGCGGCGCTGCCTATTGATGATTTGGCTATCCTAGTCAGCAACCAAAACGGCATTGCCACCTTCAACAGACCCAGGCTCTGTTTACAGTATGTGAGTTAGCCAGGTTTTTACAATGCTTATACTTACCACCCTACAACATTGGCATTCACAATTCAACCTTGTAGACCGAAGGGTAGCAAGAACCACATCATCACCAGGGTTGTCAAGTGGGACCCTACTTTCACCAGATTTTCGTCCAATTAGGTGTACAATTTCCCCGGAAGGCTAGACAGTCAGCTTTGGCGTCCTAGAGACACCCCCCTCCATGGTAGCTCTCAACGCCCACCATACCAACAGGCAACACTTTACATCTCTCCTTCTTCTACATCATGGCCATCACAGCCCAAACAGCATTGCCACCTTCTATAGGACCAGACGTTGGCAAGCAAGCTCCAGGTAGTGGCACGCTGATACTAATTTCTCCAACTTTCACATTTCTCTACCAAAACTAAATAGTACACCTTTATAAATGTAAGTGAATGGAACACAAATATGCAATTTGAAGCTAAACATTTACAAAATGTCAGGGCATTTTGTAAATGTTAGCACAAATGTTAGCACAGTTCCTGGTGTGAACATTTCAAATCTAATTTTCAAAGTGAATACAAGTTTTTAGAATTATCAGAAATTGTTAATGTTTTTCTGAGGTCATACCATTTGACATACCTGACCACGCCCTTAAAATGTCAAATTATCTCATGGTTTAAAGAGAGTTGCTAAACATGGCGTGCAGCAGTTAGGACCATCAGGGGTTCTTCTTTGTGATATCATTTCTTGTCACATGATATGATGAATATATTAACAAAATGGCTCCTTCAATGGTGGTTACACCATGTTGACAATTTGGTACTTGACTGGGTGACATGATTTCCCTAAAATAATTATAATAATAAGAACAATGATGTTCCATTACTTTTATTTAATATTGAACAGTTCTATTGTAAGATTATGCCAGGCTAGTTGATAGGGTGTTATTTTGAAAATGTAACCTTTTTAAAGCAAGTTTAATTCTTTGGTATGAAGCTTCAATGGTTACACCATAGACATTTTTGTCTACATACCCCAATTATTCTCTAAAAAATTAATTAAAAATATAAATTTTAGACTAGGTCCTCAAAACAAAGAATAAAAGCATGTCAAAAGACACTTTCTGCCTTTTCTCAGCCAAAAAGGCACCAACTTCAAAATGTATTTCACATTTCTACTACATATATGACCCAATATCAATACAGATTCATGTTTCAACGGGTGAAGTATCCCTTTAACCATGTATTTGGGTGTTATGAGCAACAATTGATTGATTTCTCTTCATGATGAGGATTTTTTCAGACAGACAGATTTACTTTTTATTTAATTTACTTCTTTATTATCTTCATAATGTATTGTTTTAAACACTGCTTGAAACAGTGATTTAACAATCACTTGAAACACGTTTCCAGCAGTGGAAAGAAAACCTACCTGCTCTCTGCAGCTTGATTTCAGGTGTTAAAATCACATCCAGCACTTTTCTTTGTCGTATCCACATGTTGTTTCTGATATATCTCTGATAACCGCAGCGAGCAGCCGCCGTCTGAACAAATCTTTAAGATCCTGAAACCCGGACATCTGACACACATCCAAGAGTCACAGAAGAACTCAACTCTGACGTCTTTATAACATTACTCTGGTAATCTACAACGTTAGCACAGACATACACGCTAACTGACAGAACCCGGAAACTACAAACATTACTCTTCTTTGAATGATATTCCGGCAGGCTGTGCACTTTAGAGTGTAATGCTGCCCTCCACAGTCTATGAGTGTGTACTACATACATATCTTCTGATGAGTTTTATGGCGTTTGGCATCCATGTGTTGCATTACAGCCAGTGGTGTACTGGTGGCTGAAGAAGTGGACATACTCTTAAGTTTCCAAAAATGTTCTTTTAAGGTGACCCATCCAGCAGAGGAAAAACTGCCTTTGTAATGAACAGTGAAATGAGACTACTCATCAACATTTAGTTAGTACATACTAGTCAGTCCTTCACTACGGTGGCTGAGAAGTTGTTTTTTTTTCACATTTTAAAAAACAAAATTACAAAACCCAGAACACTTTTACCAGTCCCCAAACAAATGTACAAATGACAGAATCTTAAAAAAGGGGATGTACCAAATGCAGGAAGTGACCCAGTAGTGCATATCTGGTCCTTCAGTCTCATTGGTGTCCTTTAAAAGTTTGAAGACCGTCCCCACAAATGTGGCTCAAACGAGTTCCACAAAAGGGGCAAAAGGTTTTTAGACATTGTGGATATCACTGAGGAAGAGCTGGGTATAATGCTAAGGGAAGGACTGGCCCATAGAGCGGGACATAAAAAAAAACAGATTACTGTGGGCAGACACTGTATATAATTGTAGAAAGGTAGAACAACCCAGATGGAGGCTGTAATCAGTGGTGTGGTAGTGCAGGGCATACGCAGGTATATACTGAGTGACGACACTCACTTATTGTTCAGTCTCCATAGAGTAGACCCACTTCTAAATCTGATTCACACCATTGATTGATTGAAAATATTCAGTAGTTTGCTGCAATTCCTAGGATGGTGAAGTACGGAGCCCCTGAAGTCCCAAAAAGTACAAAAAATATATCTTGTGCGCACAAGATAATTATAATTATTTCAAAAGTTAATTTGGAATTAATTTGCCTCTGCAAAAAGGTCAGCCTTATTGAGATAACTCAACATAAGTGAAATGTTGTAACAACATATAGAATATGATCAAAAAGAAGTTACTGCAGGTTCACAAAATGTAACGTTTGAACTTTATAAACATTACCTGACATCAATATAAACACTGAATTCTTAACCCTTTACTGAAGGGTTACATACTTAGAAAAATGAAAAAAAAACTCTGTTCACAAGTTTCTATGTGCGCACCCATAGCTGTCTACGGAGCCCCTGAAGTCCAAAAAAATGTTGTGCGCACAAGTTAATATCTTGCATGCAAATTTTTTTCAACTTTTCGGGACTTCAGGGTAGACGTGTGAATGTGAGATATTTGGGACTGAGTAGGTAATTTAAGTAAGTAAAAACTACAGCTACTCAGGTTAACGTTACATTAATGTGTAATGTCATACTAGTTACAGAGAAGATGTTTAATATGTAAGCTGAGTCTGTTTCTACGGTGATTTAAGCTCTTAGTCTGTCACTATGGTAACCTAAACTCTGAGTCTGTTTCTATGGTGACGTGAACTCTGAGTCTGTTTCTATGCTAATTTAGGCTCCGAGTCTGTTTCTATGGTAACTTAAGCTCTGAGTCTGTCTCTATGGTAACTTAAGCTCCGAGTCTGTCTCTATGGTAACTTAAGCTCCGAGTCTGTCACTATGGTAACTTCAGCTCCGAGTCTGTCTCTACGGTAACTTAAGCTCTAAGTCTGTCACTATGGTAACCTAAGCTCTTAGTCTGACTTCTCATGTCTCTTAAATTAAATCCAAATTTCAACACTTACTTCCTCCCCTTGCATCCTAGTCCCTCCCACCAGAGATGCATGGAGAGAAACGAGGAAAAGAGGAGAGAGGAACAAGGAAATATTTTTGAAGACACGAGACGTCCTTTCCTCTGCAGCATCATGTGAAGCAACGTCTGTTTGAGATGATGACATCAGCTGATCAACACTCAGCTGTTTGTGTTTACACACATGAGCACTTCATTCATTCTAATTAAATTCACAATGTAACTGTGTTTAGTCTGTTATATGTTGGTGATATATTTGAGCTCAGTGCATACAAACTGTCATTTTCAAGTAATCAAGAAAATGATAAAAAACACAAACTCTAAAATTGTATTGAAGATCTTTTTCTTTGCACATCCCCATGCTATGGAACATCTCTTTATATTCAAGAGATAAACATGATTATTATGCTGTGATGAAGCAACAGAAAATGTAATGCTGCAAACAATGAAGAAAGCAGTCTCCTTGTCTGCAGGCAAATTTCAGAATTTCAAGTGAGAAAAAACATCTGAATGAGTCAGCAGGAGAGAATGAAGAATGAACATATTGTCTACTCCATTTATAAACTGGACACAGAAACGCAGAAAATCCTGCATTTCTTTGGTACAGTATTGCCTTTGATCCAGTGAGAGTTCAGATTTTGGCTCTCTTAGAAACCTCCTGGTCCCAGTCAGTGTCGAGGACGTCGTTACTGAAGTCCACAGAACCGAAGAGAGAGAACGAAGCAGAACTGCTGTGAGGACGGCCCAGCTCAAAACACTTCCTCTTCCTCACACCGACCGGAATCTGCAGTTCAGCAGGAACGTCCTTCAATGTTTCTGCAGGATCAAACTGTCGGTGTCTCTGTCCTGGGTTTAACAAATCTTTGATTTGGTCCACCATTCTCACAGGTTTCAGTCCTGCAGGAGGATCTGTTCTCTGGGTATCTTCTCTTTGAGGATTCATGTCCTCGTCAGTCTGAGCTGCAGCCGATTGTTCCTTGGAGCAGCTGAAGGAGAATCTGGAGAGTTTGGCGAGCGTTGATGAAGCCACAGGAGACTTTATGATGTCATCACTTCCCATCATTCTTCTGCTTGCAGACTCGTCCTCCTTCTCGCTGCCTTCACCTTCCAAATCTCTCTGATTCAGACTTTTCTTCTCTGTGTCATCCTGACCAGCTCCTTTCACTTCACTTCTTCCGCTCCCTGTCTCATCCAGGATTCCTGCGCTGACCTTCAGGATGTCACTGTGTGCTGAAGCTCTCATCTTTCTTGGTTTGAATATAAACCCGGACAACTTTGAGCGCAGTTCTTCTCCTGTTTCTTCCTCGTCGGTCTTCTTCTCCCTCAGTGCAGCACTGATGTCTTTGGTCTCGTCTCTCCTGTTGTCCTCCTCAGGTGTTCTTTCTGAGCCGGCGCTGCTCAGGTGATTCTTGACAAAGCGTTTGGAGGGTTTGGAGTTATCCAATGGCAGTGAGCTGCTCCTGTCAGACACATGTTTATCAGCAGGCCCTACCCCCTCTCCTCCTCCTCCTCCTCCTCCCTCTGAGGCAGGCTCCGCCCCCTCTCCTCCTCCTCCCTCTGAGGCAGGCTCCGCCCCCCCTCCTCCTCCCTCTGAGGTAGACTCCGCCCCCTCTGAGGCAGGCTCCTGATGAAGACCACTCAGCTCCTTCACTCGTTTGTCTCGCAGTTTCTTAGAGACTTTTTGGAACACAAACCTTGAGGACTCTGGATGATCTGTCCGTCTCTCAGATTGTTTCTTCTTCTCCTGCTTTTCTTCCTGTGAAGCGGAGGTGACACCAGCATCGCGGATTAACGTGCGGTCCCTGATCACGCCGTTTGTCCCTGACCTTTCTGAGTTTCCTCCTGTTTTCAGGTTCACCTGAGTGGATGTAATGACAGGCGGGGCCATGCCGTCAGGCGACAGTGACTGATCGATGGAGTGAAACCAATCCAGGCCTCCCTCTACTGTGACATCACCCTTACAGCTGCTCGTCACATCATGTCTGTTTCTGCAGGGGGCGGAGTCTGGGTCTCTGAGTTGATGCTGGGGATCATCAGGTGATGGCACGCCTGAGGCGTCCCTCTTCATCCTGAAGGACGAAGATCAAGGTGTTTCAAACTCAAACAACTGATGGAGGTGTTTATTTGAATAATTAGTTTGAATAAACACACAACTGACAGGCTCAGATTCTTATTCTCAGTGTCTGACAACAACTCAAAACTCCTACAAATAGTGTGCTCACACACACTAACCAATCAAGTCAGAGGTAGACCAGCACCTCCCGACTGCTCTGTGTGGTGTGTTTGTAGAGAGTAATGTTACAGCTCTTTCTGTAATGGTGTCACACACTTCAAATAAAAATCATCATTCAAAGAAGATAGCACATTCCAGCAGTGTTCAGAGGAAGGAGCTCTCACACACACTCAACAGGAGTGACCCACCTGCTCAATCTGCTGGTCTCCTTCTGCAGCAACTGAGACAGGTTGAGTCCCTGCAGCAGAGTCCGACACTGAGTGTGATACTGCTCACAGGGCACAGCGGGGAACGAGGTGAGTAAAGCATTTACATTCCCCAGCAGAGCTCCACCCTGAAAGAGGAGAGTACAGAGAGAGATAACAGACTGAAAGAAGAGAGTACAGAGAGAGATAACAGACTGAAAGAAGAGAGTACAGAGAGAGATAACAGACTGAAAGAAGAGAGTACAGAGAGAGATAACAGACTGAAAGAAGAGAGTACAGAGAGAGATAACAGACTGAAAGAAGAGAGTACAGAGAGGGGCTGCAGGCTGAGCAACACCTCGGATAATGAGGCTGCTATAAATCAGCTTGATTTAACAATCACTATGACTGTTATTTCACAGGTCGTTGATTAAGGTAAAAAACTCATTTTTAATCTTGCATATGAATAAACAAGGTGTAAAGAGACTGAGAGGTTCTCATGTTTTCAAACCTGCAACATGTCACAAACAAACCACAGGATTTACATGTGTGTGTGTGTGACAGTGTGTTAACTTCTTACCTGCATGGAGCACTCCATAACAGAGACAGCCATGATGGCGTCCTCTATGGTCACTGTCTCTCTGTACATGAGCTTGGCATGAGCTCAAGGGTCAAAACAGAACAATAGGTGAGTGGTACACTTATTCACCATTCAGTTCATTTAAATGTGTCTTCTCACACAGACAGCGTAAGCAGAAATGATTCTAATCTGTGTGCACAACATGAAGTTTTTGTTTTTATAGCAGGAAAAAGAGCTGCAGGCTTCAAAAACAAGAATGTTAATGTGAAGGAGGTCAAAGCACATCTCAACCCATTCCGTACTGTTGCTGGACTTGGAGAAGAGTTATTATTATTGCTTCTAATAAGCAACTCTGTAGGGATGATTTTTATAAAGTCTTTTAGCATTTTATTTGTGATTCACTCAGATTACTTTACAGAGTACTGTTTCCTCTGGAGAGTGTCTGGGCTCCGTCTTACAGATAGGGGAGGAGCTCGGAGTACAGCTGCTACCAGCCAGGTGAGGTGTTTGGGGGACTGGTCAGGATACCTACTGGTCACCTCCCTTTGGATGGTCTTCCAGGCACATACAACTGGGAGGAGACCCCGGTGTAGACCCAGAGCTCTCTGGGGGTATAAAGTCCCATACTGCACACCTGGACCTGGTACTGATCCTAGCTAACAGGTCATCAGACTGGGACCTGGTACCAATCCTAGCTAACAGGTACCTGGTACTTATTCTAGCTAACAGGTCAACAGACTGGGACCTGGTACTGATCCTAGCTAACAGGTCATCAGACTGGGACCTGGTATTGATCCTAGCTAACAGGTCATCAGACTGGGACCTGGTATTGATCCTAGCTAACAGGTCATCAGACTGGGACCTGGTATTGATCCTAGCTAACAGGTCATCAGACTGGGACCTGGTACCGTTCCTAGCTAACAGCTCAACAGATTGAGACCTGGTACTGGTCTGGTGCGAACAGAAAACTAACTTCATCTTCTGTCTGATCTTAGCACAGAAATCCCCCCACACATATTTAATGTTCTGAGGCTGTGGGTAATTGATTTTCAAACTGCCCGGCCTCACCTTCAGCCAGTCTGCTCAGACTCTCCAGCATTCGGATGGTGGTGCGTGCAGCGTTGCGTCTGTCACTCTGTCTCTGCAGCTGGTAGTAACGGGTCAGGATGCTGTTGGCATCTTCAGACAGCTGCGGCTGCAGCCGTTTGATCACACTGAAATAAGCCTTCATTTTCTCCATGGACCACAGGCCTGAAGACTCAGCAGGAAGTCCTGAAGAACACAAGAGAGCTATCATGAACCCCCTCAGACGAGAGGGAGGAACGCTGTTCTGAACATCAGCACTGTGTTTTCAGCTGGGCACTCAATGTGCTGCTCTCCTCACAGAGTCAGCACAACTTGCGCTTTGTTCATATTAGATGAAAGTTATGATACCATTTCTTTAGCTACTAAAAGTTTCTTTCATTATTGTCTAGAGGAGAAACCAGCTGAGAAGCTCAGGAGATGATGTGCTCAGATACTTTCTAAATGGAGAGCATTTTTTTAGTTTTCTTACAGTCTCAGGATCAATAAAGTATCAAACTATATTAATATCGATATGTATTAGTATCGATCTATACTTCTTTCTTGCTATGCTTCCATCCATCTCATAAAAATACAGTATTCTGGATTCTTTAAAATTATGTATTTTTTAAGTCTGCAGGAGTTGTAACTGTAAATCAAAAATATTCAAGTCAAAGTGAAAATATTCAGAAATATTAAAGGTGTGATTGTCTTTCACATTTTAAACTTTTTAACCCTGACGAGAACAAAAATGTATTCTGCAACAACCATAAACAAACATCGCCCAGTGTTTCCCCTACCATTATGTTAGGGGAGCGGCCCGCCCCCCAAACGGCACCCCCTGCCCCCCTTGATGGTCAAGTTCATTTTATTTTCTATATAGCGCCAGATCACAACAGAAGTCATAAAGAAACCTTTCCTATAGAACAGGTCTATACCTCCTCCTTGTATTAAACAAACTAAACAGCCTTATGTTATTTATCTTATTTACACGACAGCATATCATTTCTGTCCCTAGATGGTCGCATGTTCACATTTCTCCTCTGCTCCCTGTGTCGCGCACTCACAGAAATGGGAGTTGCAGGAACAACTGCAACTGGTTTTAGATTGACAAACCTCTGTCCTCCAGGATGAAGGAGGAGATGACACGGTCCCACTCGGCGTTCTTGGTATCCAGCAGAACAAGAACCAGGTCGAATCGACTGAGTAGAGGGCTGGCAAGGGCCACGTTGACAGACAGCGGCTCGTTGGGGTCGTACTGGCCTTTAGGGTTGGCGGCTGCCAGAATGGTGGTGCGAGTGTTTAGCTTACACACTATACTGTGGAGAGGGGGAGTGTTATAGTCCATGTTCTCTTGGACATATACAGAGTGGATAACATTTCTCTATTTCACAGTTTACAAAGTCGTCAACTTCACACCCTTCACTTCATTATTTTAGTTGCAAACCTACTTCTGCCCACCTCTGCACCCTGGGGCATGTTGGTCTTAAAAAGGTGTGGAGGTACCCAGCTGTACCCGGGTCTGCGGTCTCCACGATCTTCACATCAGTTAAGATTTTAAATTGTCTAGCGTGTAGCCAAACTAAATTAATAAACACTACAGTACTTCACCTGATAAATAAACTAAGTCTCCATTTAACACATTCATTAATACAACCTGTACATTATGATAATCCAGTATTGGCCCTCTGTGATCTGGGCAGTAATGAAAAACACACTTTGTCACATCAGATCTGTTTAGTGTCATACCCAGCTTTGGCCACACTGATGGACTGCTGCTCCATGGCTTCATGGATGCTGATGCGGTCATGTTCTTTGATGCTGTTGAACTCATCGATGCAGCACAGACCTCCGTCTGACAGGACCAGAGCTCCAGCCTCCAGGTGCCACTCACCTCCGTCTCTCACCGCTGCTACGGTCAGTCCTGCAACACCACACGTTCAGGTGAGGATGTGATGAGTTTACATGCAGCAGGTTTCAAAGTGCTGACAGAGAACAGCCTCTACCTGCACTTGTTGATCCAATCCCAGCTGTGAGAACAGAGCGAGGCATGATCTTAGCTGAATACTTCAGGAACTGAGACTTCCCTGTGCCGGGGTCGCCCACCAGCAGCATGTGACACTCACCTGGAGAGGATGAGATAAAGACTAGTTTAATGAAAAGACAAACACAGACATGCAGGACTCGTCAGATTTAGAAGAAATCAGGCCAAATAAGATTGAATGAAAGTGTGAAACATGCAGGTACAGATGAGCCACGCTACAAGAGACATACCTCTGATCTTTGTCCCCAAAGAATCTATTCTCTGCACGCCACCAGCCAACACCATGGCAACCGCCAGTTTAACCACGTACATGCCAAACACCTGAGGGCACAGACTCAACAGAATCTGGTTCCTGGCTACAGAGAGAGGAGAGGATGAGGTTCAGGAAGTGAAGAAATACAAACAAGGCTTTTGAAACATTACGTACCAGCCATGGGATCATGTTTAGAGCTTTCCCAGAATTCATCAAACTCTTTCTGAATGTCCTTCATGAGCAGAGCCGCTGCAGCCTGCTGGTTGTTTACTTCGATGTTATTGGCTTTGAGCACCAGCTCCACGTCGCAGCGAGTGCCGTCGTAGAATGGCTTCCAGCGCTGACCCATCACGCCGTACACGGTCACATCGTCACCTACAAACACAGTGTTCAAACAGCTGGTCACATTATCATCTACAAACACAGTGTTCAAACAGCTGGTCACATCATCTACAAACACACTGTTCAAACAGCTGGTCACATGGAGCTCGGGCATTAGCACTCTGCCACCAGCAGGTGGAGAGCTGGATAAATGTCTGCTGCAGCTCTGTTCAACCTGCAGCAGACTGTTCTGTGTACACAAACATTTCTATTCAGCACTGCTCTTCCTTCATGGTGCTGTGGTCACTCTGTTCCTGGTTTTTGTTTAAGGAACACAAAGGTTTGTCTTACAGAAAATAAATCAGGTTCCCCTCTTGTCAGGAGGATACCGTTTGTTTAGTCTGATCTTGAAAAGTCCTTGATAGGACAAAAGCTGCGTCTCAGTTCCTGTGAGTCTTAGCCCCTCCCACCAGAGATTCAAGGAGAGATGCAGGGAAATGAAGGAGAGGAGACATGAAAAGTCCTTTACCTCAAGACGTCCGTTTGTGAAGTCAGCTGATCCTCGTTGAGCTGTCAGCTGTCTTTAACATCTCTTTGTATTCATTCTAACAGAATACACAGTAACAGAGTGTATTCTGTTAACTGATCATTAAGGATTTCATATTGTAAATGTATTTGATCTTTTGATTGACAGATCATCTCATTGTGAACTCTGTATTTTACAAACACAGCTGCTTCTATGTGGCCTCAAGAATATCGGAAATGATTTATTAAATAAACATGTATCTTATCATCAGACGTATCATTAACGATCAGCCTTTAATGAAACTTTATTAACATGACAATAAAGTTTTACTGAAGTCACATTTCCCTCCTCTCTCCTCATTTCAGTTATAAGATCTTTGAACGCTCCGGGGGGAGAGGAGAACTGAGATGTAAGTGTAAAGACCTTGTGACCATCGCCCTCTTCTGGTTGACTGTAAACTTGGAAATGGGATCAAGTTGTGCACATTGTCAGCTCTTATTGATTTCTCCACCATCACTGTACCTGAGCAGCTAAAACCTTAAGTAACAAAGTTAGGCTTTAATGAGCATGTGTATGGAGGGACGGCTTGTCCAATAGTTCTCACCAGATTTACAGATGTCAACCAGGTCGTCCTCCAGAATCACCACCATGGAACGAGGAATACTGCCCACTGACAGCCTCTGCACCTGAAATCATTTCAATATCCAGAACTTATTATTCAACACATTGTCTGTGAACATTCAAATGATCGGTTTGTAGAGAACATGAGGATCACAGGGTTCACCTGCTCTTGGATCTTGATCTCCTGGTAGTCTCGACAGGCTCCGGGCTCAGATCCGTCAGTCAGACAGGTGAATTTAAAGGAGTGACAGGCGTCGGGGTTAGGACAGGACACAGGAGGTACAAAGGTGTAGAACTGATCAAAATCTGCCTGCACCGTGAAAATATGGCGACACTTGTTGCACATGTAATCCCGCTCGTACTCCAGCACCTATGAGAGGAGAAGAACAACTCAAATATACAACACAGTAACACTCACAACATCTTCTGGTTGTTCAGACAATGCCTCTGTTTCCATGGTGACACATGTAAAAACAGTTAAGTGTTGACTTGAAGGTGTGTTTCAGGAATCCTTCCAGTCTAAAACTCATGCTGAAATAAACAGAGGTTTCTTTTCAGATAAGACAAAGAAAAGGGTCCACACACTCATCATCACGACAATGTTCCATTAATGAATGGAGAATAAGAGAAGCTGAAATAAAAACCGATGTTTTCAGATTATTCTGTTCACAAGAGGACAAGTCAACAGATGAGGGCGTTATCACATATAGATCGTTTGCTCTGGTCTGAATCATGGATCAGTTTGTTCCATTGTACCATAATGACCTCAGGTTCGGTCTGTGTTCACACAGGAACATTTACAAGAGGACCAAAATGTGTGATGATGCGTTTGGAAAATGCTCTCTGATTGGTCAGAATATCTTAGAACTCCCTGAAGTAAACAAAGACTAGCTGTCTCCTGATTGGCTGAGGCTGCTCCAAACACACTTTCTACACAGACTGATGTGGGCTCTGCTCATCAGCTTCTATATTGTTTGCTTTTATCACTGTATGTGATCGATACAGTTTGAAATGAATATGTTGATGTTCTGGAGTCTCTGAAGACGTTCATAAAGACAGATCAGGAGAATCCTCCAGAACTGTTTCTGAGGCATCGTCAGGTCTGCCTGTGGTCTTTAACACATGTTCAGTGATGATGAACAGAGAGGAGGGATTCTGAAACAAAGCTGCACCAGGGTTTGAGTTGTGGTCTGTGCCTCTTGATTAAACGTTGATTACATTGGATAGTTAGCTGCTGTTAACTTTGGTTTGGGCTTTAGTTTGAGTGTGTTAGTTCTTTTCATATTCCAGACTCTGCAGGTACTCTTCCTTGTTTTTGGATGGTGACTTCATATTCCTGTTAGTTAGATGAAGAGTAGTGTGTTGAAAAGAGGTAAAAAGCTGTTCTGCACCTCTTCTGACTCCTCTCTGTGAGCTTGTAAACACGTGTTCCTGTAAGTACATCAGCATTATGTTGACTCACTGGGTTCAGGAGCATACACTTATACTAAAGGGAAGACTTCAAACTACACTGTCTATGCAAATGGAACATGGAAACTAAATTGAAATGGTTGCTACATAATCAGAGAAATAAATAATAAAGGTTAAAAAAAAGAAAAACTGCAAGACCCAGAATGCACTGGGCTCATTGCCTTACTCCTCTGCACATGTGTGACTCTGTTATGTTCCTCCTAATCCACAGTAACACTGTTTTCTTCATGTTTCCTTAATGAGTGTTTTGATTCTGGCTCCGCCCCTCTCTAGAGTGTTTGCAGGGACAGAAGATCCAGGAAAGACCAGGTGTGGGCTTAGATAAACATCAGAGACATGTGTTGGTTTCTAAGTGAGTGGTGAAAAAGAACCCGTTTGTCCTTCTGAAGCGTCCTGAAGACATCAGGTTTATTTAGGGAGTCCCTGTGCTCCTCACTGCTCTGCTCATTTAACAGCAGCTTTCAGTAAAGCTTCAACAAACTGTTGCAAACTGAGCATTTAGCATGCTGTTACCTTGGCAACGCTGGTGCGTATGACTGTGCCGGTGACGGACAGAAAGTGTCCGACATCTCTGGACCTGGGGATGGTGTTTCTGGTGAGCTCGGGACACACGGGCAGACCTGAGGACAGAAAAGAGTCTGTTAGCACAAACAGAAAATAGTTACTATGACAACCAAAATTTAACTGCAACAAATGTCCTAAAAAGAAGAAAAGCTGTTCCCTTCATTTTAGTGAGAGGAGAGGGCTCGTGTAAGAGACTGGGGACATTACCTGTGATTCTGGCATGAGGGGCGTGTCTCAGTCTGGGCTTCAGGGAGACTTTCTCTGCTAAGTCCATGGCTCTTCTGTGTAACACTTTGTCAAATATAGCCAGCACATGGTGGGGATAGGCGTTAAAATAATCTCCCACCTACACCCACACACACACACACACACACACACACACACACACACACACACACACACACACACACACACACACACACACACACACACACACACACACACACACACACACACACACACACACACACACACACACACACACACACACACACACACACACACACACACACACACACACACACACACACACACACACACACACACACACACACACACACACACACACAGAGGAATGAGTGGATCAAACATGGCAGACAAACACCAACACACTGTCTACAGTGCACAAAGACATCGGCAGCGTTTGGGTACACTGTGCTGCTTTCACCTCCATATTTGCTTCAAACAGCGTCATGGCGTTTACGACCACAGGGTGTCGGGTCTCTTCATCGCCGTCTTCGATCAGCTGGAGGATGTCGTCATGGTGATGATCTGTCAGGTAGCTTTCAAATACCCGGCCAATCAGAGCCTCCTGCTCCGGGCTCATCAACATGGTGAACACCTGGAATAACAGAGAGTGTTTGTTTGGTAACGACAGTAGTGCTGCTGTATGATGTACAGTTTGTTTAACACAGGTTACATTATTTATGATACTTTAACATTACTGATGATCAGTCCACCAGTATTAAACAATCTCATTCATACATTCACACACTGCAAACAAAGCAGCGGGAGCAACTTCAGGCTAAGTGTCTTGCCAAAGGACACAGCGGATAAGTGGCTGCAGGAGCCGGGGATCGAACCCCCGACCTTACGATTGCACCAAGGCTGATTGGACAGCCAAACCTACTAATTACATGAACCTACAACACAATAGAAGTAACAACCTGTGCCTCCTTTCATTATTTATTGAGGGGTTCCAGAGGTCAATATGGGGTGACATCAAGGGCTCCCCTGGTTAAGAGTGGAATAATTCATTTCCACTATAATGAAAATCTCATTTTATCTTTAAGTCACACAATGACAGAATGTTCCTGCTGCTGACATTTACATATTTATGTATCAATCTGAGTCCAAAATTTATTTTACCAATGCCTCATTTTATTTATTTGTGATTTATTTTATTGTTTGAAATGTATTTCTCTTATCTGCCCTGATAATCCTTTCATTTAAATGATTTAACATCACTTTTTAATTAGTTCTCCTTCTCTCTGATGTGTAGTTTCTTGTTACATCTGTTGTGTCATTTACTCCTAAATCTACCTACAGGTCAACATGAGAATCTCCTGAACTTGAACCGGAACCTGTGACACTTCATGTAACAACAATATCTAGATATGTGCTATTAGTCAGTAGAAGGGTCCTTTATGGGGAAAAGAGGTTTATTACAATAAACTAACATAATAAAACAGTTGTAGTCTAACTACATATTAAATACATGTTTCCTGCTCACACACACTTTCACACACGACAAGTTATATTTAGTCCCTTTTTTGGTAACCCAAGTCAGATAAATGACTAAGTGTCATTTAAATAAGAAGATATTAAAATAGGTTTCTCATAATTATCATCTAACAAGTGGTTTGAACGATTCATGTACAAATCTGACGATATTAAAACCCGTTTAAATAGCATGGCAACAAGACAAGTTATGACACCCACACTTTAAGATATGTTTTTTTAATAACTATTAACAGCGTTAATCGAGTGGTTCATTAGCACACCTGTTGATACACTACATTACTTTCAAACTACATCAGCTAGCTTACTGTGAAGATGCTAATCAACGAACACGGAACACAAGACTCACCTGTTGATTTCACCAGGAAACAAATATTTAATCGAAGAACAGAATCATTTGAGCTCTAACACATCTCGTCCTCCGGCACACGTAAACAGAAGAGCAGAGTTTCGCGGGCCAAGCGGCGGAAGGACTTCCTCTTTTTCTTCTTCATATGCTTCCTTTTCGCTTCTCAGCTGAACGGTGCATTAGCGCCACCAAGTGAAAGTATAGAACAAGACATTTTGTGGTGCAAACGAAAGAAATAAAGAAGCTTGCTATAGTTACACAAAGAGATATCGTAAAGCGATGTCGTAAAGGTAATTCCTAATGAAGATTCATTCGTGACTCTGAAGAATCAACTTTTTTTACCGATTGATCCAAATGATCCGATCACTAAAACGAGCCCAACTTCTCATCGCTTCAGCGCTGCGGGGGGAGGAGTCTGCTGCTGACGTCACTCCTCCCCCTCAGAGGACGTCCATCCCGGGACGAGCAGAGCACAAGCTCTAAAAACAGCAAACCGTTATTTACACCTGAAAAATAAAGCTGAGAGCGAATATTTTCAGGTATGGTTTCAGATCTCTCCTTTGATTCCAGGATTTATCCGGTACCCGTGTTTTCTGGACTTTGGCCTTGTGTTTTCCTCTCCCGTCCTCCACTCGAGCTGTATTCTTTTTCTTCTTAAAGAATTCATCATCAGACACAATGTGGAGCAGGAGCGACGGCGAGGACGGATACGACTGTAACAAAACAGGTGAGATTCACAGGTGAGGTAAAGCCCGGTACATAAAGCACAGGACGGAGATGTGAGCTAGAAGCAGTGATTCTGATTTAAAGGCCAGCAGCAGACCGTTAGCACGGAACGGTTCGGATATAACGGGATTCTGTGCTATTTGCTACGTCATCACGTCCCGTTAACTAACACAGCAGAGGTGTTCTGTACGGAATCTCCAAGAGGACATACCATCATATGTTTTATTTTACTCCGTTTAACTTAACAAGTCAATTTAGATTCTGATTTATGTCGATATCCCGGGATAACAAATTAACTCGTAATCCAGGAAAAAACAGTGTTGTAACCCCAAGATAACAAGATGAATAATGCTGCCTTCATGTGCTCCTCTAAGATATTGTATTTTATGAGCACATGAATGGCCTTCAAAAGTTTGAGTGGTGATCGTTCAGGGCAAAGATGGTGGAAAGAAACAGTGTCAACACTTGGAATAGTGACACACACACACACTCAGTTTGCTTTAAAGCCTATTGTAGCAATAAAGCTAGCTAGCTAAGAGAATATTAGCTAATTCTAATGTTATTTAAGCTTACAAAGGAATAAAAATGTGAACTACATACCCGATGCTTTTCAAACATTGTCCCCGAAAAAAACAACCTTACTTCTAGCGTCCATGTTTGGTGGTTTATTCCGAGTACTGGGATGTGTATATGTCGTCATGACGACTGCACACCTGGGAAGTCTGATGTTTCCCAGGAGCATCTCAATAAACCACCAAAGTGAGCTCATTATCGCGGAGAAACCAAATAAATACTATGTATCAATACATGTCCGCTTACGGCTTCCATACAGAAAATAAGCTTATGATATTTAATTAAAGGAGATTTCACTTTAACAGCTAAAACACACTGCAGTCTAAAACCTTGAAGAGCCCCCCCCCCCCTCCTGCTCTCTGTGACTGAATCATTGTTTGAAACATCATTCTTACTGATGAATCTTTGGTCTACAGGCCTCAGCAGCTCTTCAGGATGGGTCCTTGGCCCCCCCGGTCCTGGGAACGTTATACTGGGGGGGCGCAGACACAGCACGGTGTCTGACAGCGGGGACACAGGGATTGGTACTTACTGCTCTGACAGCATGGAGGGTAAGAAGTCTTTTTTAAATTTCTCTTTATCTGCCCGCCCCTCTCATTACCATCAGGCTTCCTGACGTTTCAGGCCGCCATATTTACCCCGCTGTGACGTCTTGCCTCCAGAGTGAAGGCGTGATGGAGGCGTGATGGAGGGGCAGCGTTTCAAACGACCCTGTAGAGTGTGTCCCTGACTGTGTTGTTTAAGTTTGTCCTCAGATATCTGATGAGAATATTTCAATAAAAGACAAAGAGACCTTGATGTTATCATCAGTTAACTCTGAGAGTGTATGCCCGGGCACCACGTGCACACCGTACTGTTCAGCGGTCAGCGGTCTGATTCCATGTTATCGTTCTATCTGTTGTTTTATATCACTACTTCTTCTTCCTACAGATGACTCCAGCTCCAGCACCACTCCTTTGTCTTTCCAGAGACTGTCCAACACTCACTTAGGTCCAGATCAAGATGGCGTCCCCTCCGTCCACGTCCTGCCGTCCCCCTCCCCCATATCCCCTGGAAGCTGGAGCAGGTCCCGTCAACCGCTCACACCTGGTGCAGCGAGCTGCCCGGAAATGAAGGAGCAGAGACCTATTCGAAAGTGGTCATCTCTCACCAAACTGTCGTCAGGTGGAGATAAGACGCGGACATCAGGGGACTCACACAACCCCGACTCACGAGGCTCCTTGGACAGGGGTGTGCTCTATGGGTACAGAAAGGAACCCCGGGCTTCAAACCTGGATCTTTATCTCCCTTTGTCTTCGTCCTCGCTCGGCCGCACCTTGCTGCTGCGCTCGCCGGGCGCTGCTCCTGGATACCGTTACCTCCACAGCAGCAGGTCACCCGCTCTGGAAACAGAGCGCTCCATCTCTTCTGCTCTGTCCTCACCGGCTAAACACAGCAGTCTGAGCTACAGCGCCTTACCTGAGGCCAAAGTGTCCCGGGGAGGAGGACAGGTGTTCAGCTTACCCACTCAGGGAGACCCCCTGCTAGGTCACCAGGGTGACAGAAGCTCCCCCATCCAGCCCGCAGTGCGCACACAGATGTGGCTGACCGAGCAGATGGAGTACAGGCCCAAAGCAGGACAACCTGGAGCAGAGGGCGGGGCTGGAGACGGCCTGTTGCCATGGCAGCAGGAACCAGGGCTGAACCAGGTGAGAGGAGTATAAGGAGGTCAAAGAAATGAGGGAGAAAGATAGAAGATAAAGACAAAACAAGTCACTGACGTATGTCCTCCTGTAACGGGATAGAAGAGTTATTTAGATAAGACTCAGATAATGCTTTATGGAAATCTAAATAAAGATTGGACAGAAAGGCTGGATTCAAACCTGGAACATGAATTTGACTTTCACTGACTGAAGTGTTTGTTTTGTTTTGTTTTGTTTCAGAGCTCTCTGCCCGTCAATACTCTGCTGAAGCTGAAAGAGGGACTGATGAGACAGAGAGAGCTGGAGATCGACAGGTACACACACACACACACACACACACACACACACACACACACACACACACACACACACACACACACACACACACACACACACACACACACACACACACACACACACACACACACACACACACACACACACACACACAAACAAACACACACACACGCACACAGTAAAATTCATTTCAGTGTGAAACGGTTCGTTTAACGGTTCTCTTTAAGACCTCGTCTCCACTTCCGCAGTTTATTCTGATTGGCCGGCTCAATGGAAGCCTTCTGCTGAAGTTCTTGGTTTCATATCAGTGAACTATGGCGTGTTTTTAACAGAAGAAGGCGTGTAGCGCCCTCTGCAGACTCATCCTGGGATTACAAACCTTTGCCCGTGTTTAGTCTGAACATCCAGCATCACTACGAGAGTTTAAAATGAGGATCATCTTGAAAGATGTTTTTTTAGGTGAATCCAACCTGCAGGTACAACATGTGGTTATTCATAATGTGAACTTCTCTGTAAAGCATCAAAATCATCAATGAATGATTACATCAATAAATGAATGATTACATTAATAAATATATGATTGATTACATTAATAAATGAATGATTGATTACATCAATAAATAAATGAATGATTACATTAATAAATTAATTAATGATTAAATTAATAAATTAATGAATGATTACATCAATAAATGAATGAATGATTACATTAATAAATAAATGATTACATTAATAAATGAATGAATGATTACATTAATAAATGAATGATTATATTATTAAATGAATGAATGATTACATCAATAAATGAATGAATGATTACATTAATAAATAAATGATTACATTAATAAATGAATGAATGATTACATTAATAAATGAATGATTATATTATTAAATGAATGAATGATTACATCAATAAATGAATGAATGATTACATTAATAAATAAATGAATGATTACATTAATAAATGAATGATTGATTACATTAATAAATGAATGAATGGTTACATTAATAAATGAATGATTACATTAATAAATGAATGAATGATTACATTAATAAATGAATGATTACATTAATAAATGAATGAATGATTACATTAATAAATGAATGATTACATTAATAAATGAAGTTACTTAGTTACCTAGAAGTGAAGCACCTGACTTTGTAATCTCCAAACATTCAGAGTTTTGTTTCATTCTGAAGATCAAACCCTGGATCTGTGTCAGCTGAGTCAGAGGTGGGTGAGATACTGGATGGTTTCTAAAACACACTAGAAGTACTCACTGATTTGGCCAAAAAGCAGTATGCAGTATGTGAACAAATGTGAGATCCACAGTTTGCCATAAGTACCAGGATGTCGTACTGATGATGTATTTATCAGACTGTTTCCCACAATGCAAAGCGCCAGATCAGAGTTCAAAATGATGGACAGTAACTGCCATGGTAACCGTGGAAATGGAGTGAGGAACTGATGATGATGGTGTGTGTGTGTGTGTGTGTGTGTGTGTGTGTGTGTGTGTGTGTGTGTTTCAGACAAAAGCAGCAGATCCTGCAGATCCATGCCCGGATCAGAGAGAACGAGGTCAGAGTGCAGCAAGTCCTGCACAGCCAGAGAGGCTGGTTCGACCACACACACATCCTCAGTCCTAAGGTAACACATCTGCAGATTTAACACACATACATCTTTGATCTGAAGTCACAGAACTGGTCCTGCCTGTCCTATAGGAACCCTTGTTGAGAGCGGCCTGTCAGCAGCCCTCTGATAGGCTGTGCTGTGACGAGGAGCTCGGCAGGAAGCTGGCTGTCGCTGAACTTGAAGTTCTTCATTTAAATGAGTTCTTCAAACAAGTTACACAGAAATACAACGAGGACATCAGGAAGCTGGAGGAGAAGGTACAAACTGTTTCCTTTGTCTACTTCTCGAAATTCTCTTTTGTGTCCTAGTTCAACATTTCAAACGAGGATTTCTTTTGTGTTGCCCAGGTGAAGACGAGGGATCGTTACATCAGCAGCCTGAAGAAGAAGTGTCAGAGAGAGAACGAGCAGAACCAGGAGAAACAGCAGCGCATAGAGACTCTGGAGAAATACCTGTCTGACCTGCCCACGCTGGACGAGGTGCAGGGGCAGGCTACACAGGTACACACACACACACACACACACACACACATAGGAGGATCTGCACCCTGAGGGCTGGGATTATAAAAGCTCCTCTTACGAGGCTTGGTTTTCAGGCTCCTCTCTTCAATAATGCTAATTTATCCGATGCTAATGGTTCAAACTAAGCGGTAAGCTCCTGTGTTTAAAAATGAAGCCGGTCTGGTGGTGGACAAACCTGCAGTTCTTAAAGTGACCACTAGAGGCTGGCTGCAGAAACACACCCATTCTAAAAAGCCTGTTTTTACAGCAGAGATGAACATGTTTACAGCCTGGTTCAAAAAACCAAATAGGTGTGATTAGCTCATGTCTCGATGGACACACACTGTACGGGGGGTGAATGTTTTGATGACTCATCAGTTTTGATTTGATGAAGGATAAGAGTTATTCACAATAAGGCATGTAGCTGACCTGATAGATAGGCGGGCACGGTGAAGGTTAGACTGAGACAGCATTTCCAGCAAGGAGACCACCATGGATGGGACTCCAGCGCCCCCTGCAGGAACAGACGGGTGACGTCACTCAGACTTTGTCCTTTAATATTTACAGTCTATGTTTTAAAGGGATGGTGTTCTGAAAAGGTTGATGATGGGTTGTAGATTTGCTCCGTAAATTGCTATTAATCTTATTTTCCTCTTATTTTTAAATGTGTGTGTGTGTGTGTGTGTGTGTGTGTGTGTGTGTGTGTGTGCTCAGCAGGAGCAGGTGCAGCAGAAGGCCAAACACCTGGAGAGGACAATAAGTCGGTTGGAGAGCAGCCTGCAGGAGGGCTGTGCTCTGCTAGAGGAGAAAAACATGAAGATGGAGCAGCAGGCGAGGAGAGAGAAGGAGCTGATAGCATCTGTGCACAGGTGACACACCTGACCACATGCATATATATTCTTTTATAGTTTCACTTCGCCTTATAGACAATATTCACTCACAATACTCAAATGAACAGCGAATACAGAAAATTTGATGCCAAAAAACACCTTGAACAAAAGAAAGGGGTCATAGGGTACCCCTTTCTTTAAGGAGACACCGGGCAGAGTTCCATTAGGAAGCTAGGCTATAACTTCATTACCATGGTTACTAGAAAATGACTTCTACACCTCACTAATCAGGCTAGTGACAGCATTAGCTAACCCCTCTCTTCAGCTCCACCCCCTTGTCCAAATATGGGCATCCTGATGGTGAAGTCCAAAGTCATCTCTTTCTGTCTCCCTCTCTCTCTCACTCTCTCTCTCTCTCTCTCTCTCTCTCTCTCTCTCTCTCTCTCTCTCTCTCTCTCTCTCTCTCTCTCTCTCTGTCAGTCTGCAACAGAAGGTGCAGCAGTGTTTGGATGACGGCGTCAGGTTACCTGTTCAGGACCTAAAGTGGCTAGAGGTGGAAAACTCTGAACTTCTGGAGCAGCAGGACCACACTAGCAGGGTAAACACACACACACACACACACACACACACACACACACACACACACACACACACACACACACACACACACTCACACTCACACTCACACTCACACTCACACTCACACTCACACACTCACACACTAACATACAATCTGTTCTCCCCTCCAGCTGATCAAACACCAGAGAGAACAGATCGAGAGACTCACATCCAAACTGACGGTACGTTTGTTTTCGTAAGACTATTTCAGTAAAAGTGAGAGCATAGCGCCCCCTGTACTTTAGAGAGCGTATTGAATAATGAGCCTTATTTCCATCTCTGCCCTTGGTGCTTTTATTGTGAAATGCTGCTTGACCTCCATGAAGGTACTTCCTGTGGTGAATTATGAAAAGGTTACTATTTGTAGATTTTGGTGATTTAGGGTTTGCTACGTTATCATTTCATCTGTTGACTTGTTTTTTTACAACACCGGTGTTACGGTTTAAAAAGTGATCACGTTAACTTGTGACTTGTGGCTAAATGCGTCATAGTAGTACAAAAGAAGGTGAAGACGGAAAGTGTCCCTATGAATGAATTTTTATTATGTTTAAAATAATACATTCGGCTGAAAGTCACCAGTTAACAGGGTAACACTTTGATCCATTCAAATGATAAATCATTATCTGGGTCACTGTTTGACTCGTCTGTGGGAAAAAAGCTGAAGGTGGAGCCTCAGCGTGATGTTGTTCTCACAAACGAACTGAAAGGATTTCATTACTGGTGGAAAAGATTCTCCCTTTAAGAATCACTCAGACTTACTTCACTGTTTTCTGTTCTTCAGGCCACCAGCAGCAGACTGCAGGAGAAAAGAGGCGTGTCTCTATTACAGCAGACTGCTCCCCCTGGTGACGACAACAGCCTGGACCCTCCCGACAGAGCCCCCCCACAGGTATCACTGGAGGTGTTACTGTGTTTCAGGGTTGTTGTTTGACTTCCACTCCAATAGAAGAAGTCATGTTGTCGTCGTCTTGCTTCAGATATCAGTACCCGCCGTGGAGGCTCCTGAAGTGGGCCGCCTGCTGAAGGAGATGTCCCTGTGTCTGCTCGACCTGCAGACGCTTTGCAGCATCCTGAGCCAGAGAGCTCAGGGGAAGGAGCCCAACCTGAGTCTGCTGCTGGGCATGAAATGTAACACACACACACACACACACACACACACACACACACACACACACACACTGTTTACCTGCTGCAGCATGAAGTCACCTTCATCTGTTTTATTGACAGACTTTCATCTCTTTCTGATGTTTCTCTGCAGCTCTGAGTGTGTCTGCAGAGGAGAGCGACAGCAGACGGGAGGAGGAGGAGGAGCTCCGCTTCAAGCTGCTGGAGGTCAGCCAACTGAGGAGGGACATCGACGAGCTGAGGAGGAGCATCTCAGACCGCTACACCCAGTGTATGGGGGACAGCTGTGTCTCCCAGAGAGTCACAGTGACTCCCAGTGACACCCAGTGACACCCAGTGTATGGGTGACGGCTGTGTCTCCCAGAGAGTCACAGTGACACCCAGTGACACCCAGTGATGCCCAGACACTTCCAGTGACACCCAGTGATGCCCAAGGACTCCAAATGACACCAAGAGACTTCCAGTGACACCAACAGACTTCCAGTGACACCCAGTGACACCCAGAGACTGTCAGTGTCACCCAGTGACGCCCAGAGACTTCCAGTGACATCCAGTGACGCCCAAGGACTCCAAATGACACCCAGAGACTTCCAGTGACACCCAGTGACACCAAGAGACTTCCAGTGACACCCAGAGACTTTCAGTGTCACCCAGAGACTTTCAGTGTCACCCAGTGACGCCCAGAGACTTCCAGTGACACCCAGAGACTTCCAGTGACACCCAGAGACTTCCAGTGACACCCAGGGAGATCTAGAGACTACTAGTGAAACCCAGTGACACCCAGTGACACCCAGTGACGCCCAGAGACTGCCAGTGACACCCAGTGAGATCTAGAGACTACTAGTGAAACCCAGTGACACCCAGAGATTCCCAGGACCCTCCTGCTGGTGTCGGACCCTGTGTCTGTTTAACCCTTTTATCCTCAATGAGGAATGATTTAAGCTTTAAGCATCCATCACCCTATAGACAGTGGACTCCAGAGGTGCAGTGGACTCACTTGTGGGATCATCGTGAACCAGACACAAACTGAATTTAACAGAATCAATAACTTAAAAAAGTGTCATTGATCAATATTGATTCTGTGCATTTAACCACCGGCTTTAAGTCGACCACAGGACTCTTTTTTATTCAATAATTATCTGGTCAACATTTCTGCTGCCAAAGAAGTGAAGTAAAGAAAACAGCACGTGCACTTTTTGTGGATAAGACTCACTCTTCTGTGCAGGCAGCTTGCAGAATAAATGACTTCCCTAACTTTAATTATCTCTGCATGTTTCATCATGTCTGCAACTTTAAATGCTCTAAGTTACCATGGGAACCAGGACAAAGGGACTGTGCGTTCAGATTTCACATACCATTGACAGCTATGACTTTTTTATCACACTCTCTCTCTCTGCTCTGTTTAGTTTTTACATTTAAAGAAATAAAACCAAAGAAATGTTTGAAATGTTGAAATCTGACCTTTGAGGTTTTTAATGACACTTCAAGTAGATCGTTGGCAGACAAAGTCTTACAGATGGAATATAGTCACATTCTGTCAGTAAAGCTGTCCGAACACATTAGTCACATGGAGAGAGGTGACAGAGAGACGAGCTGCAGGCTGTGAGAATGTTCTGCAGGATGTGTGAGCAGGAGGAACTCGAGAATGTAAAGATGGAGAAGTTAGAACGAATGAGTGGGAAGTTTAAAGTGAGTAAGGAAGGACATTTAATATATAGTATTTCATTCAAAATGTTTCAAAGTTACAGATTCTCTGATAATGTACCTTTATGAACATGCAGCTTACCTGTTCATTCTTTTGCATCCAGTACAAACATTTTCACCTTCACTATATATTTTTAAATACATGATATTTTTTGTTTGTCATCTTAAATAACTATACGGTGGCCCTGACATTTTACTCAAAGCTAAAATAATCAGCACAAAAAATGTTTCAGTTTTCAACTTCCATTATATATTTTTTTTTTTTGTGTGGAATACTTTTGTAGTTCAAAGTTTGAGGTTTTCATTCAATATTTGAATATTTAGTGGAACACTTTTGTGTCTTATTCATTTAGGGCTTTAGAAAAATGTCTCTCGGTTTTTTATGTTTCATCTAATATTTAAACGGTAAGTGAAATGTTTTTGCACCTTAAGGGCCACCGTAAAACTGTGCTTTATATGAAGTAATGTAAAAAAAAAGTGTTGTTCACATGGTTAATAAAATATTGTTTGGTTTCTTACCATCCTGAGTCAGAATTCTTCCAGTTTATTGGTGTGCACCTGAAAAGTAATGTTAGTAAACATCCTCAGTGAAGTTACCCTTGATCTTTCACAAGAGTCTGACCACTGACAGGTGACGCTGATAATAACCCTGATGATCCAAAGAATAAAACAACAACAGCAGACAGATTACAGATAAAGCAAAGGGAAGCAAACTTTATTGAAAGGCTATGAAAACAATGTGTGTGCGTGTGTGTGTGCAGAGTTTAACGACACAGTGTCGAGAGAACAGAAAGACACAAAGAGAAGAAACGTGATGTGACGCTGAAGCTTTCAGTAACTTGAGTTCCTTTATTCTGAAGCTCTGACAGGAAGTAGTGCTGACCCAGATCCGATTCTGTTAAAATCTGAAGATCAAACGGTCACATGCTGTTTTCACACTTCAACTAAAAAGCTGCGCATGTGAACAAACAGTCCACGTCTGAACACAGCAGGACACCTTCAGGAGGTTTGTGTGAAAACTGAGTCTCAGATGTGCACGCACACACACACGCACGCGCACACACTAAACAAAAACAACAATAAAAAGAATAGAATGCCCCGCAGAGAAAGAGCCCGTCATTGATTGTAAACATTACAGTTTATCATACAAGAGTAACTGTGCTGCCCTGTGTGACAAACACACACACACTGAGTTAGTGAAGAAGCAGGACAAACAGCAGGTACGAGGACAGCTCCACTCGATCAGTAACTACTCTGTCCTCACAGATCTGACTTTTTGAAAGTGACCAGCAGCAGAGATTGATTTCAAACAGCTTCTTCTTCTTCTTCGTGTGATTGTTTTGATAAAAGCTGAACACTTTAAAGATTCCACCTGGACACCCTGAACACCATCTTCACACTGAACGATTTTAGGCTCATTCTGAGCCCAGATTTGTGTCACATAATTTATTCTCAGAGTTCAGCTGGACTGAGTTTAGTTTGCTGTGCAGTGTCCAGGAGGCACAAGGGCCAATCAGCTGTCAGACTGGTCTGAATGTCAGGACTAAGGTTGTCAAAATGTTTGAAACCACCAAGGTTAAACAATACACCTGTTATTTTAATCATAAAAACATAACATTTGTGTCTCTATCAAACAGAGAGCAGCTTCATATCATTAGTAAAGTTTGGGTACTGACTTCAGACAGTGTGCACTATTTTAGTTGCTGTGGTGTCCAAATTGTTTATTCTTTTAGAGTCATATCAAAGGTTAAAGTTTGGCTACATCAAATCCTCCTGTAGAGAGCAGAGAGGTTGTTCCACCAGCCACAGCTTCCAAAAGGTGTTTGCAGAAAAGACTACTATTACAACGCTGGTTTGATGAAGAGTCCAAAAGTTCTGCAGTTTATCTCCAGTTTAGAACCAGGAGTGACGGATTAACAACTTTTACATGATGAGAAGGAACATCTCAAAAGATGTTTCACTCTTTCACTAAAGTGCTCTGAAGTCATGATGCCTGCAGGACGAGAAAAAAACTCCTTTTTGAATGAAGTTCTGTTTGTGAAGCAGGTTAACACTGAGAAAACAAAGAGCTCTAACTGGCTCAGTGAAGATGATCTCTTGTGCTCTATGAAGTCTTGTGATGTGTATTTACCGACATGTATCTTTAGATTGACTTTATATTTAACAATGCTGCTTAAAACCCTGTGTGTTGTGGTCTGAAAACATCTTTATCTTCAGTTGATTCTGCAAACCTCTCACTCCTCCTAATGTGAGCTGGAATGAACCTCACTGACTGGTTACACATCTGGTTTTAAAATAATGAATAAATATTCCTTCTGATTGATTTCTGATCAGAGAGGAGGTCCATGAGGATGATTTAGTGTTATTGTTGATGAGAAACAAAAACTCTAAACTAAAGCGCCCCCCCCCCTTTTTTTACAGCTCATTAATATCTACATAAAATACCCAGAAAGCCCCCTTTGTTCAACGTCACCCCCTCCTCTGACCTTTAACCCCCCCACATTCAGAGAAGACAGAGGTTTCTGTTTGTTCTCCCTCTGCTCCTCAGATCATCCTCTGATTCCGTCCTCTGAGCATATTTCTCCCACAATCCTCCTGTGATCTCTGCAGTAACTCTGCCAGGCCTCTAGGTGGAGCCGTCCCCCTCAGGAGGTTTTGAAGGAGTTTCCTCTGAAAGCATCTCGCTGGAGATCCCGGTGTCTCCTCCTCTGTTCTCTGCTCCGTTACTCAGAGTCATTTTCTCCAGAGCTGCAGGAAGATACACCGACAGACACGTGAGCATGGATAAAAACATACAGAAATCGTACAGACATCAACATCGTACAGAAATCGTACAGACATCACACAGACATCAACATCGCACAGACACCGACATCGTACAGACACCGACATCGTACAGACACCTACATCGTACAGACACCGACATCGTACAGACACCATACAGACATCAACATCGCACAGACATCAACATCGCACAGACATCGCACAGACATCGCACAGACATCAACATCGTACAGACACCATACAGACATCAACATCGCACGGACATCGTACAGACATCGTACAGACGTTGTACAGTCATCAACATCGTACAGACGTTGTACAGACATCAACATCGCACGGACATCGTACAGACATCAACATCGCACAGACATCAACATTGCACAGACATCGTACAGTCATCGTACAGTCATCAACATCATACAGACATCAACATCGCACAGACATCGACATTGTACAGACATCAACATCGCACAGTCATCGTACAGACATCAACATCGCACAGACATCGCACAGACATCGCACAGACATCGTACAGACATCGTACAGACATCGTACAGACATCAACATTGCAGACATCGTACAGACATCAACATCGCACAGTCATCGTACAGACATCAACATCGCACAGTCATCGTTCAGACATCAACATCGTACAGACATTAAACAGACATCGTACAGACATCGTACAGACATGAAACAGACATCGTACAGACATCATACAGACATGGAACAGACATCATACAGACATGGAACAGACATCAAACAGCCATCATACAGACATCGTACAGACATCGTACTGACATCGTACAGTTGTCTGGTGTCCCTACTAGTTTGAATCAGTAGCTGTATTAATGACACACAGTCAAGCTCTATGACGCCACCATTTTACAGAAAACCCCAGAATGTATAAAGGACACTTCCTCCTGCCTGCCTGTACAAGGGGTGCTGTGCTGCTGTCGTCCAGTTCATCCAGGTAGAGTCTGTAGTGATGCCCGCTGTCGTCTTCATACTCTACATTCTCATCATCACTGTCCACCTCTGGAGCCACGTACACCACCTCAAATTCTATCTGCCCCCGCTGACACACACACACACACAAACACACACACACGGTGAGCACTGAGAGGAAACAGTGTGTGTGGACTCAGTTGTGTCTCTGTGCTCGTGGTACCTGCTGGGACAGGATGGTCACAGCCTCCTTGTGTTTGGCGTCTCTCAGGTTGATACTGTTGACGGCGAGGATGGCGTCTCCGACGTGCAGACCTCCACAGCGATCTGCCGGCTGGCTGGGGTGAATCTCTGATATCAGGATGGGAACGCCGTGCTCCTTCCCGCCCTGAAGAGGAGAAACAAGTCCAGATTTCACTTTAGGGATGGAGCAGAGCATCATCGCTCTCAGCTGTTATTCAGCAGCATGCTGAGGTCGTCTCTATGACACTTGTTGACACAGCAGTCTTCAGATACAAAGCAGCCCGTGAGCTCGTCTCTGTACTGATTGTTTTTGAGGAGTAAAAAGAGGTCTTACTGTGATGGAGATCCCCAGCCCCTCATGGTCCTCTTTGACCAGCACCACCTTCCTGATGGGACCGACTCCCTGCGTCTTCTTCAGCATGTCAGGGTCCTGTGATGGACACATTTGAACTAATAGAAAAGAGACTCATAGAAAAGGCTTTGACATTTAAACTCTGATGTATTGAAACACTCACGTGTCCCACAGGGGAGGGCAGAGGTTTCTTTGGGTCGTTTCGTCCTCTACACGCCCTGATGACAGTCTTGTGGCCGTGCAAGTGGATCTCCGCCTCCAGCTGGTTCCACAGTTTGTCATGAGCTGGCCCCTTCATGTCCCGACCCAGCAGCTGGATCTGCTGCACCCTGAAACACACAGCAACACACTCTGCTGTCAGTGCAGATCACAGTCCTGTATTCAGTGACTGATTTGAACTCATCAGTTATCGTCTGATGATGCTATTTGTCTCTGGGAACAAAGGCCACCCGAGCATTGGTGTAGATATTAACGTGAATGATAAACAACTTCCTGCCAAGATTCCTGCCTTTCTGTGTGCCGCATCGTGTACAATCCAATCAGACTCCTGAGAAGTGTGTTCATATCAAAAGTGACATTTGCCCTTATAGAAAACAGTATTTTTGTTTATTCCCCCTGAGGAGCGCCTCTACATCAGTTTCCTGTGAGTCTCAGTCTTCACTCTGGATCACTTCAGTTCCTATGAACCTGAAAAACAAGCTCATGTTCTTTATTCACATTAATGAGTGTGAAGTTTCATCATGATGCAGATTAGTAAAGGGTCAAAGTTCAAGCTTTGTCAGGAGAAAACTACTTTAGAAATGTTTGTTGAATGAGAGTAGTCATTTACGATGCATTCAAGGGAGTCAGGAAATCTTAATGCTCACAAGTCTTAGTTTGACAACAGAAAACTACATCTCAAAATGGCCCATTGGAAAGAACTCCCAAGTTAACATCCACGGTAACAGTCAACGTTCCTGTAGGCTGAGATCTGGACATGCGTACAGGAAGCTACTCCACCTGGTGGACTCAAAGAACGACACACTAACTGTATGATGTGAACACATCATAGACACTTCTATATATTTGATATACCTGTGTAGCTGACTCCGCCCCCTCTGGAAGTTATCTTATGATCTCATAATGTGCTCATGACAAATCTCCAGCTTCAACCTCACAGGGACATGCGTACAGGAAGCTACTCCACCTGGTGGACTC